TAGGGGTGGGCGCGGGCCTCAGATGAGGGCGGTGAGTGGTGGTGGCGCTGGGGGAGAGGCGGATCAGGGGGGCACAGAAAGGCCCTCAGCAGGGGAGTCTGATAGTAATGGCAGGGAAAGTGCGCCCGCCTTTACGAGTTATCCACGACATCGTACCTTTCGCTTCCTTGCCTCCCTCTTTCAACCTGGTGGGAGCAAAATGACACCAACAACAAACGACCACCAACGGCTATTTTTTATCCTGACCTGGAACATACAGCGTGATGTGTGAACATAACGTCTTATGGCTCATTTATGCAGCGTAACGGGCATCCAACTCATTGTAGCATGCTGTCCGTAAGGCTCACTGCTCACAGATGCTACAACCAGCAGCCCTGTAAGCTGTGAATATGGTTGTCGTGCGGAGCTATGCGAACAGTACAGCTACGTTTGATCGATTCCAGGCGATGTTTCCCCGTGAGGCAATGACCCTGACCTCCTGACCACGGGTGAGCACAGGTGCTCTGCCAACAGGTGTTGGAAGCGACGAGACAACAGACCTTGACCGCATAAGCCCTGGCGCTGTGCCGACAGGTGTGGGAAGGGGACGGGACTACAGATCCTGACCTCCTGACCCCGGTGCTGTGCCGACAGGTGTCGGAGGCGACGAGACAACAGACCCTGACTTTCCGACCCCCGTAGTCACACCGACTGGTGTGGCAGAGGGCGGGACTACATTTCCTGACCCTGACCCCCGGCGCTGTGCCGGCAGGTGTGGGAGGGGAACGGGCGGCGCTACTACACGGTGGTGGTGATGTTGCTGCAGTACTTCCTGCCGGTGACCGTGCTGGCCGTGACGTACGGCAGGATCGCGCTGGAAGTGTGGGGTCGTAGCTCGCCCTTCATCAGGAGTCAGGATGTCAGGGAGATCAGGCTGGCGCGCGCCAAGCGGAAGGTGAGCACGCACGCTTGGAGGGCTCGCCAAGTGGAAGATGAGCACGTACGCTTAGTGAGCACGCACACTTGGAGGGCTCGCCAAACGGAAGATGAGCACGCACGCTTGGAGGGCTCGCCAAGCGGAAGGTGAGCACGCACGTTTGAAGGGCTCGCCAAGCGGAAGGTGAGCACGCACGCTTGGGGGGCTCGCCAAGCGGAAGGTGAGCACGCACGCCTGGAGGGCTCGCTAAGCGGAAGGTGAGCACGCAAGCTTAGAGGGCTCGCCAAACGGAAGATGAGCACGCACGCTTGGTGAGCCCGCGGCCAGTGGCATGGAGAACCATGGTGGTCGATGGTCGTCTCAGCGGTATTAAAGCCATGCCAGTGTCAATGTATTGACTAATGAGTCAATGTATTGATCGTTCGATGATCCCGCACGCCGGCCGCTTCGCGGAGCATGACTGGTACTTCCCCGAATAATTTATCATCCGATGCGTTGGAGTAAAATGCGCCTTGTTGTGAAGAAGTAAATACAAATAAACAGGGTAGAACGGTGATGGAGGTGATAAATTACATTAAGGAGGGCGTATAAGATATATTACGTTTTGTTAGCATGCATCTCTCTATTATCTACTATCTTTAAATATTTGTACAAGGATAGTATATTTGCATATATATATATATATAATATATATATATATATATATATAATATATATATATATATATATATATAAATACATATACATATATATATATACACGTATGTATACATATCTCTCTCTCTCTCTCTCTCCTCTCTCTCTTCTCTTCCTCTCTCCCTCTCTCTCTCTCTCTCTCTCTCTCTCTCTCTCTCTTCCTCTATCCTCTCTCTCTCTTCTCATCTCTCATTTCTCTCTCTTCCAGAAAAAAAATTGAGCACCAACTTCCCATCCCAAAGAAAGGTTTCACAATCATGCATACGGCAGCAAAATAGTCAAGTCAAAGTACGCGCGATTTACCTTCAATGAATGTCGTGGGGCGGTGAGAGGTACCCAGCCTTCCAAGTTCATTCTTCACGACCTTCACCCTGGATTACTTTTCACTGGCATTGCGAACTTGTTGTCCGGCGATGTTATTAATGCCTTGAAGAAGTGAAAGCTCACACACTGTGTTTGGTCGTTGCCCTTACTTCAGGCCTATAAATGGATCCATTTCGTATACGGTGTGCTCGAAGTCTGCACGACAGATGGCACTGACATCGTTCTTTATTCGCGACTTTACCAGCAAAGGATGGATTTCTCCGCCCCGAATTGAAACGAGCTAGTGGTGGATGGAAATGCAAGCCAACAGACATCGCCGCTCGACTGATCAAACTCGTTCATCCTCAGTTTGTGCCATGTAATCACGCGACACCCGCAGTAATTCATCAGCGGAAAAGTTACCAGGGCCATCTGTATTCTGAGTGAAGTGAGGGTTTCGCTTAGAGTCTGATCCAGAGTGAGCAGGGAGGAGGGCCCTGGGTCCAGCCCAGTCATCAATCTCTCGCACAGCTGACTCAGAGAACTGCGGACCTACTGAGAGTTCTACTGAATCGATACCGAAAGGATGCTGATATCAGGCGGGGTGACGCAATTCCAAAGTTGCGTTTTTCATAACGGTATCCCTACCAGCACAGGGTTTTGCACTGGTATGCAAAAGATTTGTCAACGGACACTCTCGTTTAAACCTTTCTGGTCACCGAGCAGGGTAAAGTTGCAGAAAACCCGCCATGCGTCGCTGCGTACGATGTATTTCATCTCGCCAATGCACTTGAGACAGTATCACATATAGATGTGATCACCCATCACCGCATGAGCAATTATCACGTGAACAATCGCTAAAACGCTCACCTGAATGTCAATCACGTCAAAATCCTGCACCCTCCGTCTGCCCTCCGGAGCACGTCTGCCCTCCGGAGCAGCCCTCCCCCCCCCCCCCCCCTAGTCGCGTCGCCGGCCGTGACGCCGTCCCTAGCCCGATGCCAAGCATTCCCTGGCGCAGGGTGGGTCGCGCGCCGTAGGCTCGCTCGACCACCCAGCCGTCCCTCACCACTACACCCGGCGCTGTTTGGACCGGCCGACCCGCGGCCGCGGTGTTTAGTGCCAGGCGACGAAATATTTATTCCACTGGCGCGCGGTGCCTCTCATTTTTGGAGCCTCGGGCGATGGAAATGTAAACGAAGAGCCAAATCAGCAAGCCGATTTATTGTACGTTGGGGTAAGGAAGAGGGCACAAAGGTCCCTGTCCGCTGAGGGTAAATGTTATTACCCAGATGCTTTACATCTTTCATTGCAGGAAATATAATGCTTCCTTATTGCTTCCGTGCGTGTGTCTGTGAAGGTTAGGGTGGAAGGGCTGAGAAGCCTATTGGGATGTTACTACGTGTGGAATAGCCATGTTTGCTGTTGCAGTCTACACCCATGGCACAACTTATCTTTGTTTCAGGCTACAAATGAGGGCGATAATTGCATAAATGTGTCTGTTGGACGAGTAAATATTATCACGCACGTGTTTTATGTTTTTCGCTGCAGCCATTCCATAACAACTCATCACCTTCGTGTGTCACAACGGTCAAGTATTCGCATGTTGAAATGTTTGAAAAGCAAATTAGGGCACTAATTACACGAACATGTCTATTTCATGAGTAAATATTATCATCCAGGTGTTTTATGTCTTCCGCTACGGGCATCCAATAATCCCTTATCACCTTCGAGTGTCACAAAGGTCAAGTATTCGAATGTTAAAGTACAAATACTTGTGGAGTGGTATCTGCTGTTGCATTTTACACACAACTCATCGAACGTTGACCAAAGTCATTTGCAATGATAATCTTCATGAAGAGAGTGGTATGTTTTTATATTCCCTGGCTTGCTTGCTGGTTTATTCAGTGCTCCCATTCTTGGTGCGTTAAATGCGATACATGGCTCATAGGGAGTAAGGCCACCGCTGCGGGCTCAAAAGGCGGACTTTGCGCATGTCTTATTCCGCCAGGCGGTGACTAATCGTATTGATTGAATGTCCTGGTTGTTGTCGCTGACTCGTTGTTTTGCTCTCCCAAGGAATCTAAACGCAGAATCAGCACCGAAATAAATTAATTTATTTAATCTAACAAATAAAATAAAATTCATTATTAAAATTAAAAACTTAAATTTCAATAACACCGTACGCAAACTACATAAAGGAATGTGAATACAAAGCTGCCTTGGGCCCGTTATACAAACACGACATTGCCAGACTGGACTCAGACGGCGGCCTCTAGCCCGAGGCGATGACAAGAAATGCCTCAGGTTCCGATGGGAAGAAGCACCAGTAGCTTCTTGCTCCGAAGATGTCTTTGTATCGCTGTCGAGCATCTGATCATCATTTCACTCGTGCGGTACTTTCTGATTCTGTGTCATCGGACCAAATGCATAAGCGTAAAACAACGAAATGGTACATGGAACGAAAGCGGTTTTAGAATATAGATCACTGACTTTCGTGATAGGTTTGACGAAAACGATCACTCTTGCTCCCCAATTTATCTTATTTTCCGTGGATATCGGAATTATGTGCATGTCAAATGTGATGAGAACAAATAAGATGCCAGTCAAATACAAGTTAGCGTAAAAAGGGCCAATCCTGTTTTCGTTGTTTGCACCGCGTTCCAAACGTACAGCAGTTATAATAAAGCATTTAAGAGCCTCCGCTGCAAAGCACGACGGCCTCCGCTGCAAAGCACGACAGTCCCCGCTGGGAAGCACAACAGTCTCCACTGAAGAGCAAAACAGTCTCCGCTGAAAAGCACGACAGCCTCCGCTACGCAGCACGAAAGTCTCCGCTGCGTGGCGCCAGCGGCTGGACGTACGCGGGGCTCGTCCCGACCTCACCACACCAGCTCACAGACACAACCCTGTGACTGTCCACAGCGCGAGTGCTGACTTCTTCCCGAGTGCTTGCTTGATCGAGCGGACCGACTGGACGAGGCGCTGATGGCCAGTGACCGTCGCCGTGCTGTGACGCGTCAGCACCAATGCTAGGCACGGAGGCGGGACTGGCGGGTGGGGTCTGATGACATCGGCCTGACAGTCATGCCAGCTCCGCCGGGGAAAGGGTCTGGCGATGTCACGCACGGGGGACCAGCTCCACAGCGGTCAGCTGAACACCCAGTCCAGGAAACCGAATTTGCTGACGCTCAGGCAGGACGCTGAGCGCGAGTACCGCCTGCTGATTCTAAACGAGACCTGAATTAAGGTAGCAAGTCATAACAGGCTCATACCCAAAACCGGCTATCAAGCAAATCGGTGAGACCGAGCGGACAGCAAGAGCCACGTTGGCGTCGCCATCGTAACCAAGGCGCCCGTCACGTAAATTCAGCTGGACCGGATCTGTCCGTGCGCCTGCTGTGGGTCGCCGCAGGGGGCTTCCAGGTCTCCCCCAGTGGGCCGGACTACCCGCGCCGCTTTCTGGCAGGAAAGTGTAGCAACTCCTCGTGCGGTGCCGATGGGTTTTGCGTTCGCTTTGTGAAACTTTGTGTGCGCTCTCTCCGCACTGTTATCTCTCGCATTATGGACGCGAGCCTTACCTTCCACTAAGTTCCCAGTTCATGGAAACTCGCGCTAGTGCATCTTAAGTCTACCAAATCCACTGAAGCTTCCTCTGTCTTGCCTGTCTCTATCTTGCTTGTCTTTATCTTGTCTGTCTCTTTCTTGCCTGTCTTTATCTTGCCTACACAGCGAAGATCACTAAAGGCGTCGTGTACGAGCAACTTTTTATTACTTTACAACGCACCCCTGTTCTCGTCTGATCGGTATAGCTTTAGATCAAACCACTCATCTGACACTGCGTTGTTCTGTTGTCACTAACAAAGTTCTTATTGCTATGAGCCAGAGTAAAGTCAGGCTGCCCTGTCCGCTAGATTCGTCCAAATGTTTCGATGCTATTTCATACGAACGCCTTCTCCGCCAGCTTCAGATTTATGGTGCCGGCGAGCTCTGGTTTAAAAACGACCTGACGGACCATTATCAACAAGCTCTTGCTCACACATCATCTGGCGAGCACGTGACTTAACGGTCGCTTCTGAGCCCCATCGGCACCTACCAAGGGTCCGCTCTGGGGTCATTGCTGTACTCGATTTATGCCAATGACTTTTCTTCGTATGTAGATGGCGCATGTATTGGTCAATACGCGGACGACATCCAGGTTCTCGTGTCTGGAAAGCCTAGCGACATGGTTTCCTTTCCAAACTCCATGGAACAAAATATTTCGCATCCCTCTCTCAATGACTTGGCAAAAACGGTATCAAAATCAACGCAGAGACAATTCAGCTCATGGTTCATGGGTCTTCTCAACACATTCCACGGCTTCCCACTATCAGCAGTCAATTTATGTGAGCCACTGTAGCTGGTTTTCCCACTACACGGAACCTGGGCAACGTATTTGACCAGCGCATGCCATTCTCGGCACACACGGAAGACGTTGCGTGACAATGCACAGGCATGTTCCGTGGCCTCAGTCAGCAGGCATAGCCTACCAGTCTCTACTCGGGTCACGCTGGTATAAAAACTAGCGGTATCACTGACCCGATACTATATCGCTGTTTACGGAGCGAATGGCAGCGCTCAACAATGCCGAGTGTAGAAGCTGTTACCTTTGTTGCCAAGCTCATTCCCGGACCCTAGCATAGCAGTGAGTGTGATTGATAGTGATAGCGACCATAGCAGTGGTGTTCTACGGGGGCTTGAGCGGCCTCCAACAAAGAATGTTTACTTATAACACGGCCCTATCCTTCTTACAAAATTATGGTGCCATCCGGGCCCAGTCACTCGCTCGTGACCATGCTGCCAGACATGCCATTCATCATCGCGCCACTGGACACCGTGATACGTCCCTATTTCTGTACACTTGGAATCTGGGATGAGGAGGTTCAATTAGTCCATCGCAACTGCATTAAATGATCTGTCTACGACAACCGCGCATTAAACACATTGTGTTTTTACATGCTTGGGATTCGAAACTAAATGATTCGAAGACAGTGAAGCACCAATTAGGTGGCTGACTACTCATCTGATATTATTTTATCTAAAATATTGTGTTATATATAATATTTTATATGATATATTTATGTAAATATTATATTGTCGTCTTAAATTATCACGCATGGCCTATTGAATGTTTTGTGTTGTTCGAGAGCGGCCTCCTCCCGGTCTGCCGCTTCATGTATTCTCTGATATAAGGCTCAAAATAGCCATACTGCGTGGAGTTTCCTCGCGACATGTACAGACACAGATACAAAGTCAGAAAGCAATCGCACTTCCATGGCGTGACGTGTTTGTCATCCTGGTTTTCCCTTCATGAAGAGTAATGACACGTCTTGTCTGAGTCTGCCAACGCCTCGAGAAGCTCGCGAGCTATCCACGCAAGATAACATAACACTTCGGGACACATCTTGGCTGGAAGGGAAGTAGATGAGTAAAAGGCTCATGTAAGCTACCAGAAAAATAACTGGATTTTGCACCCATATCCAGTCATAACGATATGAAGAATTTGTATCCGTATTTGTCATCATTTTTAGAAGCTTGTTCTTTCGTAAATATTAGATAAAGTTGTTGGGCGTTTCACGGCGCCTGCACACATTGACATGATTGGCACCGATTTAGCTGAGCTCTTCATGACTTGGCACCGATTCAAACGCTTAACTCTGCATGGCTTGGTACCGATCTAGCTGAGCTCTGAATGTCTTGGCACCGAACTGCCTGAGCTCTGTATGACTTGACACTGGTCCGCGCGCTGAGCTCTGTATGACTTGGCACCGGTCCGTCCG